GTTTCATTTTATATATAAATAAAGTGTTTATGAATTGTATTTTCATATGACTTACGAGAGCCGGAAAATACCAGAAGAAAGTATTGCTGTTATACTTCTTATTAACGGTTAGGTATCCGGAATAATGTGTGATATTAGGCGCTGAGGACAGGCCTACTATTTGACTCAACTTCTGTGCCTCAGCTATCTTTCCACTCTCGATATATGGCGTCAAAAACAGTGGATCCCCAACATCTCGGCTCTGCCTTACATTAGCCGCTGAATGCGATGGGAATAGATTTTTGCGGAAAATAGCTGTACAGCCATTAATTGCAAGTAAAATAAAGACCAAACTTGTAATAGTCTTCATTATTAGCCACAAATAACAGTTGTTGACTGATATTAAGAGTCGCAGTCAACCAATGATTAATATAGGAGTTTGTCCTATCATTTTGATAAGAACTCATTGAAGTTATTAAAAGTCAAGTTTTATCGATACGTGAGGTTTAGGCACATCTTTACTCAAATAGTTTTTATACTATTTCTCACTATTTTCACTCATTTATCACCAAAACTCTTGACTTATTTATATATTCTACGAAATCTACAAGTACACTTTAAGTATATATTGAGTTCATTCGCGATTTAGGCTTTAGATTTTTAATATTATCTAAACTCATTGTCAAAACTGATTAAATATAACTTTATTTGTATTATAATAACAACTGATTAAACAGTTTGTATGACACCATAGAATAGATCCATTGAAGTCATCTTTAAAGGCTCACAACATTCATACAATTGATGACTGACTTGTGAACTATATTTAAATTAATCCTAAAATGATCACCTCATTGAATACGATATTTGATGTATAATTGGATATTATTTTATTTTAATTAGTTTTAGAAAGTCATACAAATTAATAATTATTATTTATCAGTAAAACAATGATTTAATAGTATTTAAGTCTAATTAATGCATAACTTATTTATAAAATATACATAATTTTGAAAATAAAAAACAAAAATACAATTAAAACAAATGAATTGTCGCTTCAAATGAATGGTTATATGACTGAGGATGAGGTGTCTGTATTGATGAAGATGTAGTTCCCGTCCCGTATTTTACAGCTCAATAGAGTGCGGCTCTCATCAAGTCTTTGGTTCCGATAACTGACGACATATTGCTTGCACTCCAGAAGCCGGTCCTCCAGAACCATAGCCAACACNGGATGAGGTGTCTGTATTGATGAAGATGTAGTTCCCGTCCCGTATTTTACAGCTCAATAGAGTGCGGCTCTCATCAAGTCTTTGGTTCCGATAACTGACGACATATTGCTTGCACTCCAGAAGCCGGTCCTCCAGAACCATAGCCAACACGTCGGCGACGGTGTGTTTTGGCGACACCTCAACCGTAACCACTCTTTCCCTGTCTATTCTCAACGATATTCTCATCCTCTTCTTGACCAGAGATAGGAAGAGATGAGGCATTGGTTTGCAAATGCGATAATCAGAAAGAGTTAGTTTGGGATCCAATTCCTGGTTCGCGAAGTAGACCAGCATTTCCTCGCCATTCATGTCATCCAACTCTTGGACTCTCTTTTTGATTCTTTCGATGGATTCCTGCGGATCCGCGTCGACGACGAATGACTTGTCCTCCACTTTAACCATCATTTTTCCGACACAACTCTTGGAGTCCAGATTCTGGTCATCGGCCGAGGAGTCGATGTGTTTCTTGAGTTCATCCAATTGTCGGCGAATCCATTGGTTCTCAATCTCAAGATTCTTGACTCTACTCTCCAGTGAATCCAATTGTTTGAGGCGATTATCTGCAGACTCGACCTCTGGATGTGCAACGGATCTGAAGGGACAGTTGTGGATGTGTTGATCCAATTTGTCCACTTTGACCACAACTCTGCACCCATTGTCCGCATAATTACAACGGATCTCATATTTGGTGATAAAGTTTTGGAAGAGTTTTGGCGCAGACTTCACATGAGATTCGTTCACAAATTGTCTGTCAATCGGACAAATCAAATACGTTGTCATCCATTGGTTGAGACACTTCCTGCAGAATATGTGATCGCATTGACTCAGTATTACGGGATCCTCAAGAAGTTGATGACAAATACCACATTTGAGCTCTTCGTCCACTTCGCTGTTAATCCTTTTCAAGTCATAACCCATTATAAGAAGTTTACAAATGATTGATATTTTAATTTAAAGTTCACTAAACTGAACGTCTCATCAATTTGTATGATTGGAGCGAGACTTTGAATTGATATCAAATTTTTAATTTATTTGATGGTTCAAAAGTTACCCAAACTTAAAAACTTGGATTTCAGTCAAGTTTCTGATTTTAATTCAAATGAATCGCTAGTTATAATGGATTGAATGTGCGATCAGTTTGTTATAAAGAATATTCTTTCTATCAAAACATATATATAATTATTAAATTGCTTTTTAATTACTTTTATTACAATAGCTAATTGTCTCACAGATCTATTCAGTTTACGGCATATTATTATAATAATATGATATTATATGTGATATTATGAATGAACAGTCCATTCGTGTGAACACATGCCTAGAGTTTCTGTACATAAGAATATTCTGTGAGTAACCCTCGCTTTCAACACATGTATTCTATGTGCAGAATCCCTGCACATGACTGTCAGTACAGTGTTTCAAGTGTTTTGACGTTTCATTTGATTTTACATTTAAATCACAATTGGTTTGAATTCAACGTTTAATACGCGAAACGAGTCGAAGAAGTGATGGTAGAAGAGGAAGACAATGAATGCCAAGAGTTGTGTCAAAAGGTTTGTAAAAAGACATCACTTTTGTGTCAATCACTCAATGATGACATTATTTTCATTTATTTCATGTATTTATGAATTGATTGTATTTATAGCTACAGATATCAATTGATATGAAGTCCACTGAAGAGGAATATTATCCAAAAGACTCGTTCGACAGATATGGGGACGACTTATGCGAAGAGATATTGTCTTATCTGTCACTCGAAGACTGTTTTAGATTTGAATGTCTGTCCAAACAGTGGCAGCGATTGGTATTAAAACCACAAGTTTGTCTTAATATGGATGAAGTGGTGCGCAAATTGATCATAAGAATTGACATCAAGTCTCGCAGTCAATGGTTTGCAAAGATTAATTGGGAAGCATTGGAATCGATGGGCAAGAAGTTACCAAACATTACATCCATTGATATTAACATTAGTTCAGAAAAGACCAGAAAAGTGTTTAAAAGACTTATGAATTCATACAAACACTCAATGATTGCAATCAATGTCCAGATTATGCCCACAATTGTATGGATACACGGCTTCCATCAAAACAAGTCTGTTGTCATCGATTGTCACCGAAAACAATGAGATATTACTCAAGAATTTGACTCATTTTCGATACCCATACGAGACATCCGATGGCAACCTATTGCCAGCGTTTGTCGATCACTACAAGAATAGC